TGTTTCTGTCTAACCTCTGGCTATCTTGACTTCAAGGGCAGTGCGGATGAGGGCCATCAGGGTGGAGGTGAAGTGGACCGTCATGTCATCGTCCACAGGCATGTTCATCAGCACGAGTCTCTGGTGACATCAGCAAAGGTTTCATAGTCAGTCATAATTCACAATCCCAGCCGGCAACGGCACAACACGGCACAGTGCAACCTGAGTAACGACCAACGGCGTGACTGCTTATCGCTACATGAATTCTGATGCAGGGCTACGTGTACTCAAGCTAATTTTCCAAATGCTAATTTAGCAAATGTTAAAATCAAAACATTGCAGAGATGAACAGAAAGCCAAAACATCACATTCATTATAAAAAACAACTTTATATCAGTGTTCCTCATTTAGATATCAAACATGGGGATAATTAACGGGAAACGGTTTCCCTGTAGCTTAGCTTTAAATTTGTTTTAGTTAAATCCAGTTTGAATAAGATTCCTGTGATCAATACAGGAGGAGAGAAAAGGCAAGCGGATCATTATTTCTTTAAATGAAGACAACATTTGTATTTAATGTCAAAATAAGACAGAAATAAGACATATTTACTTGCCCTCTCTTGTCCTTCTATACTCGAAGGTTAAAAAAACATGCACATGCGATGGAGCATGCTTGCAGCTTCACTCAAACAGCATGCATAAAGCGCACAAACAACGAGGCAACAAGAGGCTGTGGCAGGAGGCACGTGCAGACGGGAAGATGGAAGAAACAAAAGTATGAACGCCGGGAGATCATCTGACAACAGACGCCGGCAGATCCAGCATGTCGATGTTTAACAACTTTACGTCTCCTCTCTGGCTAAATAATCAACAGCAGCAACAATCTGTCTTTCATCCGTCCGAGTTCTCTGCCAGGATGCAAAGCAAACAGGCAAATCATTACTGTAGCGCCAACCATGCCCCAGTGGACACATACACAAACTTAAAACTGCTTCAACAAGCAATACTGCATCATATGATCGACACACACAAAAATGTTTGCCTTTTTCAGTGTGGGACACACAAAACGATGTTTTACAGAGCTCATCTCTGCTGATTGAAATATGAAGGTGGTGCCTGTTAGTCTTGGTGTTCAGTCTACCTTATATGCCACCTTGGAGGGGCATTTCTTGCCCAGGCCTAGAGGTGGTGACATGTTGGTCAACATCTCATACATGTCAGTGTAATGGATACGACCACTGGGGGCGCCAGGTAGCCATGAAGAATGAGGGAATGACGAAAAGAGAGGGAAGGGAAGGGAAGTGGACAATGTTGGAGGTGGAGGAGAAATTGAAAGACGATGGAGGTGTAGGGGAAGTGCAGTCCCGAGGGATGGTGGAGGAAAAAGAGGGGTAAAAAAAGAAGAATAGAGGAGATACAAGAGAAAGGATTATTCCAAGGCAATCACACACGAGGAGACTAAAGCAGGTTGTTTTCTTTCTATGCTGCCAAAGGGGCATAGAAATCTGGGAAAGGAGAAAACCTTGGACAGGATGAGAAAAGGAATGACAGCCTTGCAGGATCTGGTGTAAATACTAAATACTTACATTGGGCTGTGTGGGAGTGGGGAAGAATGACAAACATCTTTAAACCAGATCCAAAAGGTAGAAAGACACCGGACTCCCTCAAATTGGTCAATTATTATATCAAAATGAGACTCGAAGCCTCAAAGAGGAGTTTTAGTGTAATTAAAGTGTATCTACTGATTTACAGCTGTGTGGAAATTGAGGGACGTTATGTGCCTTAGTACCCTAAGACTGAATTATTGTCATTCTTTGACCCGATTAACACGCCCCTAACGATCAAGCGGCGGGGAGGGGAGGTCACAGTTGGTGAAGGGAAGGGAAGGCAGGAAAAGAGGAAGTCAGGAAGGATCCAACATCAAAGAGGCAGAGGGGAGGTTTGTTGATATGGGGGAACCAAACCTTGCAAGCCACCCTGTGGGGGCAGTTCTTTCCAAAGCCCAGGGGAGGTGAGATAGTGCGTACAACTTTGTACATCTCCTTATAGTGGATCCTACCACTGGGAAAAACATACAAGTCTTTAGTCATGGTGTAATTACAGACTCATACTATAGTGCACAATAAGGGCCAATGAGGCGCTGTCCTCGAACCCAGCAGGTTTAGAAATTGCAACAATAAATTGGTGGTGAATAAATCACACACAAATAATGGCAACTGATTCTTAACAGTCTGATTTTTAAACAAAGCAGTAATACTTCCAGCAGACACAGGTCACTCTCACATTCCCCAAGTCCTGAAAAAAGAGAGTTATTGTTTGCTTTGCTAAACCCACTGTGGTCAGATCGAACATGTAACAGATATACCAGGTTGATTATAACAGATATACCAGGATCGATAGGTGGATATTTTGAAAACGTTCCACATTTGTAGATGCAGTTTATTGGAGATGGTTGAACTTCTGTATAATTCTGCCTCTCTGAGATGCCTGTGAAGTCCTCGCAGTCTAAGGAGCTTGGAAAGAAAAGCATCTGGACTTCTTTAAGTTGCTTGAAGATGTTTCACCTCTCATCC